CTACCACTTGAGCCACAGTTCCACTTCCAGTTTTGGGGTTTTGTGTGTGTTTTAGAGATGCGTCTTACAACTTGAACTGTGATCCTCGGATCCCTGAGTAGCTAGGGTTACAGGTGTGATCCTGATCAGCCCCTGATTCTCTCCCCTCCCCAGCCCTTCTCCTCCCTTGGTGGAAGACAGTCCAGAGCCGTCTGTGGAGTTCGCCCCTGTAGGTCCCGATGGTTGCTTTAAACTTCAAAAGCCAGGGCTGGGTCATGGAGAGGCACTGTGAATTTCTGGTGCACTGAGTCCCTTACCTGGGTTGTGGTTTGGAGTTACTTGGCTGCTACAGGCATCTTAGGGTGCACACGTGCTCTAACCCCAAGTTTATACTGTGATGTGTTAGTTGGCGGGGCTGCGGTGACAAAGGACCCCAACTGGGTGACTTTAAACAACTGGCAGACAGTGTTTATGTTTTTGGCTTGTTTGTCAAATAGTAAATAGCTGCAGCTGTTTAGGTTTATGTCTGGATCTTCTATTCTATTCTATTCTATTCTATTTCATTGGTTTATGTGACTATTTTTTGTGCCATTACCATCCTGTATTTGTTACTATGGCTCTGTTATACAATTTGTAATACTAAAAAAAAAAAAAAAAAAACTATTTCTAATGACAAAAAAAAAAAAACTGGCAGAGCACTTGCCTGGCCGGCCAGGGCCGCTTCCGGCCTCTGTGTACATCAGTGTTGGAAATCCTTACACAGGCGCAGTGGCCTCTGTTTCTATGACGCGCATCTCCATTACATTTCCCTATGACCTCATCAGTCTAAAACTCAGCTGACAAAAATCAGACATTTCCTGTCCCATCACCAAACGTGGTTTCTGTTGCAAGCCTTCATGCTAGCCCCAGAAGAGAGTCTTTAAGCCTGCACTGGGGAGACTAAGGCAGGAGGATCATGAGTTGGAGGCCAGCTTGGGCTACCTAGCAAGATCCTGTCTCCAACAAAACAAAACAAAAAAATAAAACCTCTGACAATTGAACAAAACTCCGTCAGGTACAACGGCTCCAATGAGAATGTAGCTTCCCCTCACCTCTGCGGGACTCGGGGCCAATCGTCACAGGTCACAGCTTGCATGAAGGTCATCTGGACGACATCCGGGCTCCGGCGTGGTCCTGGGCCGGGCACAGATGTGCCAGAGGCTCTGTCTTCCGGCTAAGGCCGCTGTGACAAACGCCCGTGCGCTCGGCGGCTTTGACCGGCCGTGTCTCCTGGTGGCTGTGGCGGCTGCGTGTGCGAGGCGGGCCTCGGGGCCTCGGGCCTGGCTGCTCCCCTGGCGGGAGGCGGCGTCTTCTCCCTGCCAGCTCCTCTGTGCGTCGGCGTGTCGATCTCTTCTTATCCTGGTACCAGGCAAGGTTGGACTATGGTGCACCCCTCAGTTTTCCTTAAAGGCCCCGTCTCCACAGACACACACACTGGGGGCGGGGGGGGGGGGGTTAGGGCTTGCTCGTGGAGTTCGGGGGAACGTGGTTCATCCGTGGTAAGGGGGCGCCCTTGGTGGTAAAGTAGCCCGGGCTCTGATGTCCCCTCCCCCACATGTCCCTCGGCCCTCTTACCTGTGACCTCTCCTTTAGCAGCGTGCTTGCTATTCACCCCACGCGCGCCCTGTGACCCGGGCCGCATCCACAGGAGACACGGCACAGTCAGCGCCATCAGCCCTGCTGCGCCCGCTCCACGGTTGCCCCCAAGATGGTGGCAGGGAAGGCCAGGTCTGCTGCCCCGTGCAGCTCCCGTGCGACTGGACTGGTTTTTGTGTCCATCTGGGATCCTGGAGACGGAAGAACCCAGGGCCTGAGCCTGGGGCTCTCCCTGTGTGGGGGGATTTCCACCCAGCCGTGGTCGAGGCCGGTCCCTTGCAGCCTCCACCTTCACCCCATGCGTGGCTGCCTGCTTACCCACTTGGGGGCCATATGAGAACGGTGGTCCCCACCCCCTGCCACAGGGAGGAGGGTGGCCGTCCAGAACCCCAACTTTCCCTCACTCATCCTACTTCATTCATGCCGTGCTCACCCAGCCCCCGCCTGCACCCCAGTGTGGGAAGGGACGGCGCCTCCGAAGGCTCCTTATGAGAGCAGAAGGGGTGCGCGATGCGGGGAGATGTCAGATCTCCCTCTCTGCGTGCGGCCGGGCCGGGGTGCGGGCTTCTCCAGGCCTGTGTGCCATGTCTGCGCTTCCCGGATTCTAAAGGCCTCAGGCCGCATCCGGACCTGGATCTTCTCACGGGGACAGCAGCTAAAGGAGTTTTGGGAATGCCCTCCTGCCCGGGCGGGCTTGGCTTAGACCAACATTGTCTTGCTGAGAACAGGAAAACCAGGCCTTCCTGCCGGTTCTCCCCGCACTCCGCCTCCCCGGGCGACGGAAGAGCAGTCATGTCCCCTCACAGAGCCCCAGCGCAGCCAGGACTTCTGTAGTGTACCCCGCAGCACCCCCAATCTGTAGAGCTGACCAGGATGAAGCTCCCTTCCCAGAGGCCCTCTCCCCCCACGCAGCAACACAAGGCTCGCGAGGCTGCTTTCCTTCCTCCGTGAGTGCTGGAGAGCCGGCTCCCATAGGTAACAAGAAAGCAAGCCCCCCCCCCAGCCCCCCACCTACATGGGTTTAAACAAGGGTTCTTTCGAGATTATTCTGTCCTGGTCTTGGATGAAAACACCTAAAGGCCAAGGGGCTGATGGGGTGCTTGCATCTGTGACCATCTTCCCTTGGGGCTCAGCGCCCCAGGGCTGCCACCTGCCAGGGAGGAACGCTCTGATTTCCTCACCCAGCACAGCAGGAGAGAAAAGTCCAGAATCAAAGAACTTCACAGAGCAGCACAGTGTGCTGCGGTCACGCGTGGTCAGCCCCCTGGTAACGAGCAAAAGACGTGTCCTGCGCTCAGCGCGACGCGGGGCTGGCCTGTCTCTGGCTCCAACTGAATGCCTTTCCCTGACTTACGAAGAACTTGGGAAGACTTGGTTTTTGCCTCTGTCAGAAGAAACAGTTGTCGTGTGTCTAGGTGTAAGCATCCGTGTGTGTGTGCGTGTGTGCACGTGCGTGCGTGTGTGTGTGTGTGTGTGTGCGCGCACACGTGCGCTCTCTTCCCTTCGGATGAGCACTCGATGGTGTCTGATGCGTCTCTTGAGCCTCTCACTTCTCTTCCCCATGCTGTCTGGTCTGTGGCACTGAGATATTTTGCAAGTCCATCAAGCCAGGCGCTGGCAAGTCTGCCTGGCTCATTAGCAGTATTAGCACAAGGCAAGACTGGGGATGGGGAGCAAGATGTCAGCAGACCGTGCCTGGGCCCCACACTGGGCCCCCCAACGGCTCCTGACCAAGGCTGGGGCTTGGGCGCAGAGCCCCTCCCTGACCCGGTTTGCTCAGATCGGCTGCGTGTGCGATGGCTTCGGGGAGGGCGGGAGCCGCTGGGCTGCGCACCTGGGCGGGCCCACAGGCCCAGGGTGAGGCCCCACATCCTTTCTGTCACCAGACAAGATGCCTGCCAGTGATAGCACCTCCCTGCGTACACACACACACACACAGAGTCCTGGGCTTTCATTGAACCAAGGAAATTATACGGTCGGTACACACTGCAAGTGTGACGCCGGCTGTCCAGAGATGGGTGTGATAGGGAGGTGGCAATCAGGTGGCGGCCAGGGCAGGTGTGGCAGAAGGACAGACAGGTTCAGCGTTCCTCACCCCAGGCCCTACCTGAGGCCTCGTGGTCACCCCTTTCTGTGGGACCCTCCAGCCCAGGCCACAGGAGTCCGCACCAGCCTCAGCGTCCCTGGGGGGAAACAGAAGCGCGTGGCTGTAAGAAGCACGCTGTTTCGCGGGCTGGGGTCTGGACTTGCCAGTTGGTTCTCCGCAGTAGGTTAAAACAGAGATAAAGGAACATCCCAATCAATGCCTGCACACATTAATTCCCATAAAACTCCTTACACATAGGCCAGGGACAGCCAGCCGCAAGACCGCATTTGCTGGCACAGGCTCACTGCGTTCTGGCGTCATTGGTGGTTCAGATCTGGAATGCCTCCCAGAGGCCCAAGTGTCCAAGGTTTGGTCCCCGGGGTGGAGCTATGGAGGCTAGTTGGCTGTAGTCAGTAGTTGTCCTAGATATTGAGGAGGCTGAGATCTGAGGATCATAGTTCAAAGCCAGCCTTGGTAGGAAAGTCTAGGAGACTCTTTTCTTCAATTAACCACTACAAAGCCAGAAGTGGAGCTGTGCCAAGTGGCAGAACACCAGCCTTGAGGGAAAAACAAGAAACAAACAAACAAAAAATAAAACTAAGAGACAACACCCAGGCCCTCAGTTCAAGCCCCAGTCCAGAAAAAAAGAAAAAGAAGGAGGAAGAGGAGGAGGAGGAGAAAGAAGAGGAGGAGGAGGAGGGGTAAGAGGAGGAGGAGGAGGAGCAGGAGGAGCAGGAGGAGGAGGGGGGGGAGGCAATGTGAGGCCCAGCGCAGGGGAAAGGCTGTGGGAGGAGGAGGCCTGGACTGTGCCCAGTGCTGGGGCTCAGGAGACATTCACGGGGCGTCACCATTGACAGGAGGGAGGTGTTGCTGGGAGAAGCCACGAACGAAGACAGGAGAAGCATGTGTGATGTGGCCGATGACCCCGAGCAGGGAGCTCCGAATGGACCGCTGGCCTGTGGGTGGGGACACAGGGCCCCACCTGCTGGCCCTAGGCCATTAGAGGGTGTGTCGGGAAGGACAGGACCCTGGGCAGGTGTCACGGGCCCTCTTGTTCCAGACTGTAGGAATGGCATTTCTGGTTGGTCTTGAATGTCTGCCCGGGCCGGGACGCTGCGGTCCACGGGGTATTTAACCCTCTATCCAAAGGGCACCTGTGCCCACGCACGCCGTGCTCCACAAGCGTGGTGAGTGTCTAGACAATCTCGTCTCGGATGCCCTGGCCCTGGAGCCTCCAGAGCCCGCGGGACGCAGGGCGAGGCGGGAGGGCCAAGTGTCCCTGCGGTGTCCGCCCTCCCCCCCTCTGTGAGCTGGCCCTGGCCACGGTCCACGCAGCGCGGCGCAGCGAGGTGGATGGGACTCGGGGTACGCTGCACCGTGAGTTGGGGTTGAAGCTGTGAGTTGTGGGCAGGGTGGCGGCTGGCAGTCATTTGTCTTGGAGGTTGTGAGGTCCTCATCAGCTGGGGGGGGGGAGGGGCGGGGGGGGGCTGAGCAAAGCTGAAGCCAGGCCAGTGGGGGGGGGGGGGGGAAGAGGGGAAAGAAGGGCGGACATTGTCCAGACAAGTCAGTCATCACAGCCCCTTCAGGAGAGGCCGCCCCCAGCGGGCCAGGGAGCCCCGAGGATGCTGAGGAGTTGGGTGGGGGGACAGTGAGCTCCTAGTGGTCCAGGGAGGGTGGGGTGAGGTGCTTGGGCGGCTGGGCCAAACACTCTGGTTCTCACTGGGTGTCAGTTGGGGACAGGGACTGAACCTGTGGGGAGCCCGTGCCACTGCCCACCTCCGCCTCATCGGACGCCTTTGTTTTTCCTGCAAAGGGGGCAGGCTGCGGTCAGAGCTTTGGGCTGGGCTGAGCTAGGCGCTGCACCCCGCGGCTCTCCACCCTGAGCCCCACCCCACCCCAATGCATTGTGTGAGGAAGAAGAAGCCAGAAAGAAAGGAAGAAAGAAAGGAGGGAGGGAGGGAGGGAGGGAAAGAAGGAAGGAAGGAAAGGAAGGAAGGAAGGAAGGAAAGGAAGGAAGGAAGGAAGGAAGGAAGGAAGGAAGGAAGGAAGGAAGGAAGGATGGAAGGAAGGAAGGAAAAAGGAAGAAAGGAAGGAAGAAAGAAAGAAAAAGAAAGGAGCAAGGAAAGAAAGAGAAAATGGGAGACGGGGATTGCATAATCTGATCCTCGAGTGAATCCTCCGGCCGTGAGCCCCAGGCAGGAGACCCAGGCAAAGCTGCAATAGAAGCGGGCTCAGGGCCTGGGGGGGCCCAGCCTTAGGCGCTCTGGGCTCTGGCGTTTGGCTTTTCACTCCCACCAAGAGGCTTCATTTCGGCTCTTTCCAAAGCCGCACATCTCCCAAGCAGAAGGCAGGAGGGGCAGCGCCCCAGCCTGGCGTGAGGCCGCACGGGGGGGGGGGGGGGGGGGCGGGGGGGGGAGAGCTGACCGTGTGCAAGGAACCTAACCCTCAGCGCACACCTCCCCTCTGCTGGCGCCGCTTTGCGGGGCTTTCGGGTTCTCACAGATATTATCTTTACATCTTCTAGAAGGCTCTGGAGGCTGCTGTGCAGGTGAGTCACAGGCACCCGAGCGGTCCTGTGATTAGCCAGGCCGAGGCGGCCGGCCCCGCCTCTCCCCTTACCTGGAGCCCTCTCACCTGCCAGTCTCCTAGGCTTTCTCTTTTTCTCACTCATCCAGACAACGGGATCATTGCCTCCTAAGGAATCCTCTGTTTTGGCTGGGAAGGTGGCTCAGTGGCAGAGCGCTTGCCTCGCAGGCTTGAGGCCCTGGGCTCGATTCCTCAGCACCACATAAAGTGGGAGCAACTCTGTGGCTCAAGTGCTAGCCTTGAGCAAAAACAGCTCAGGGGCAGTGGCCAGGCCCTGCGTTCCAGCCAAATCCTTTGTTTTTCTTATATGGGAAAAGATCTTCAAGTGTAAAAGTTAAGGTCTATACTAATGTCACTTTTATATGCTAATGTCCACCCTTGCTAACACAGGAGTCGGCCTTGCTGGGGTGTGTGTGTGTGTGTGTGTGTGTGTGTGTGTGTGTGTGTGTGTGTGTGTGTGTGTGTCTGGGGGGGGGGGAGCGGGCTTGAACTCAGGGCTTGGCACTGTCCCTTAGCTTTTTCACTCAAATGGCATTCTGCCATTTGAACCACAGCTCCACCTGTGACTTTTGGGTGGCTAGTTGGGAATGGGGGTCTCATAGACTTCCTTCCTGAGCTGGCTCTGAACTGTGATGTGATCTTTGGATTGCAGCCTCCTGAGTAGCTAGGATTACGGACTTTCTGGTGCTTTGGAGCCCAGACAGCCCGGCTGCCAGCTGATGGGCTAACTCACAGCCCGCTCTGCAGGACGCTGCGCGTGGATGCTGTTTGCGGGGTGTGGGGCAGGACCGCTGGCTGGCGTCACAGAGCCACGGGCCCTTTGCTGGAGACGCTCCGCTCCAGCTGCAGGGCCGAGTGTCCTCCCTCCTCTCCTGCTGGTGACCGTGAGAGGAGAGGAGGGAGGGCTGGAGCGGAACAGTCTCTCTGGCCACACAGGAACACCTCACGGCTTCTGCGGGTGGAGGGGGGGAGGAAACTGAGGCTCCGAGTCCAGCTCTGACTCCACAGGCCTCCACCCTTGCGCGCAGGAGAGCAGCAACGCTTTGGTTTTCAAATCTTCTCTTTAAGTCTGGTGGCTCACACCTGTAACCCTAGCTGCTCGGGAGGCTGAGATCTGAGATCACAGTGGCAGCCAGTCAAAGCAGGCGAATCCAAGAGACTCATGTCTTCAGTGAAAAAGTAAAAAGCCAGAAGTGGAGGTGTGGCTCAAGTGGTAGAGCACCACCAGCCTTGCTGGAAAAATGCTAAGGGGATGCATGAGGTCTTGCGTTCAAACCTCAGTACACACACACACACACACACACACACACACACACACACGCGCTTTTGGTAATGGCACACAGTGCAGTACAGACTCGCGGCAGGAGTTCAGATCGTCGTTTTCTCAGAAGCACGGACAGGGCTCATGAAAGCCTTGCACACACTGGGCTTCTGGGCGGCCCTGCTCGGCCCCTGTCGGGCAAGCAGAAGCGGAGAATCAGTCAGGCCGCTGTCAACTCCCATGCAGAAGCTGACATGGCCGTCTAGAGGTGGCTCTGAGACACTAGAAGTGGTCCCTCTCCCATGGCGGCTCCCTCCTGCCTCCCCCTCTCCCCCTCCCCCCAACCCCCCCTCCTCTCCCCCTCCCCCCCTCCCCTCTCCTCCTCCCCCCTCCCGTCTGTCTTCACCCTCCCTGGGAATCCTTCCCGCGGCCTCCCTGTGCCAGCGGCCTCCCTGTGCTGGTGGCCATGGCCCTTCCGCGTTATTCCAGTCCTGCCCTCCAGCTCACCCCTGCTGGGAAACCGGCCCTGACTCTCCCTCGGCCTCCCCAGCACGCCTTTCCACCGCCTTCCCCCTCCTCCGGCCTCACCCCCCCTTCCCTGTCCCCTCTTGTCTTCATCAGCCCCCCTAGAAAAATCTGACGCCTTCCACCCATCCTCCTGCCCCCTTGGGCCACGTGACACAGCCACGCGCTCTGGGGACAGACAGCCGGGGCCGAGGGTCAGCATGGGCCTTTGTGGCTCTGGCCTTACCCAGGCACGGAGGCTGCCCGCTCAGCCCCCACCCCCCAGAAACTTCACCCCTCCTCCACCGTCCTCCTCCCATGTGCTCTCGCTTCCCTTTTTTGTTTTGGGGTTTGTTTGTTTGTTTGTTTGTTTATTGCCAGTCCTGGGGCTTGAAGTTTCTTTTTGCTCAAGGCTAGCACTCTACCCCTGGAGCCACAGCGCTACTTCTGGCTTTCTTCTGTGTATGTGGTGCTGAGGAATCGAACCCAGGGCTTCATGCATGCGAGGAAGCGCTCTACCGCGGAGCCACCTTCCCAGCCCTGGTCTCGCTTCCTTTTCCACTGAGAGCAGAGGCACCCACGTTTGTCTGGTAGAGTTCACGGTCGCGTCTGCTGGCTCCTGAGCATCTGGGATGAGCCCACGCACCACGCTGTCCCCTCCGGCTTGTCACTGTCATCTGAGTTTCCCTTCTCCCGTCGCCATCCCAAAAGGCTCACACACGATGCAGTGCTCACACACGGTGCAGTGCTCACACACGGTGCGGTGCTCACACACGGTGCGGTGCTCACACACGGTGCAGTGCTCACACACGGTGCAGTGTTCACACACGATACAGGGCTCACACACGGTGCAGTGTTCACACATGGTGCAGTGCTCACACACGATGCAGGGCTCACACACGGTGCAGTGTTCACACATGGTGCAGTGTTCACACACCGGTGCAGTGCTCACACATGGGTGCGGTGCTCACACATGGTGCAGTGCTCATACACCGGTGTGGTGCTCACATACCGGTGTGGTGCTCACACACGGTGCGGTGCTCACACACCGGTGCAGTGCTCACACATGGTGCAGATCTCACACACAGTGCAGGGCTCACACACGGTGCAGTACTCACACACGGGTACAGTGCTCACACACGATGCAGTGCTCACACATGGTGCAGTCCTCACACACGGTGCAGTGCTCACACACGGTGCAGTGCTCACACACGGTGCAGTGCTCACACACCGGTGCAGTGCTCACACACGGTGCAGATCTCACACACGGTGCAGTGCTCACACACCAGTGCAGTGCTCACACATGGTGCAGTGCTCATACACCGGTGTAGTGCTCACACACGGTGCAGTGCTCACACATGGGTGCAGTGCTCACACACGGTGCAGTGCTCACACACCAGTGCAGTGCTCACACATGGTGCAGTGCTCATACACCGGTGTAGTGCTCACACACGGTGCAGTGCTCACACATGGGTGCAGTGCTCACACACAGTGCAGATCTCACACACGGTGCGGTGCTCACACACGGTGCGGTGCTCACACACGGGTGCAGTGCTCACACACAGGTGCGGTGCTCACACACGGGTGCAGTGCTCACACACGGTGCAGTGCTCACACACAGTGCAGTGCTCAAACACGGTGCAGTGCTCACACACGGTGCGGTGCTCACACACGGTGCAGTTCTCACACACGGGTGCAGTGCTCACACACGGTGCAGATCTGTTCATCTAGCCTTGCCTGCAGCAAAGCCACACAGGCAGAGGCGCGTTACCACGGAGTTCTGTTGTTGTTGTTGATGATGATGATGATGATGATGATGATGATGATGGTTAGAGGTTGTGGGTCATTTTGCCTTGGAACCCACTGGTAATTTCCTGAGGTCTGTGCGTCCCCGGGCCACCCAAGAGAAGATGTGTAAAATAGCACGCAGGATGCTAATGCTATCACAGTACGGGTCCCAGACATCGTAGGGCACGCTGGTTGGTGGCCATTTGTATGCTTCTCGGGTCACGGGGTACTCCTGAGG